CAGGGCCTACTCAAAATATAAGCAAACTGAGTAGGTACCAGGACACGAGGAGAGCTCAGGCACTTCTGACACAAGTTGCAGGAACACAGGGGAGGGGCAGGCAAAGAGCATAGGAATGGTCCTCTTCAATATTATCCAAAACGGCAGATTTAAAAGAAGATGAAAAGTTTGCATTTCCACTAACACTCCTGTTACCTGGAGGGGAGGAGAGGGAGGAACACTGGGGGAGTGGGTTGTGCATGAATTTTCTGGGTTGAAAAGCAAATACTTAAATTTTTGTGTAACTAAATGCTGCCCCTGAGGATTATCTCTGGGCATCACATTTTGCTCAGCCCCATGAACCTTTGCCACTCGAACAAATGCTGTAGTTGTGAGATGTCACCTGGAATGTGGCTCAGCGCCAGAAAGAAGGTCACTGGTACAGGTTTCAGATGTGTTTGCTGTCAGCAGATGTTTGGAGAGAGCGTTGATTTCCATCCATACCCATGCCTGCAGAACCTCCTCTGAGCAGGTTATTTGTACATCTGTTTCCCACCTCTTCCAGTCCTCCTCACCAGAGCCCATGCTACAGAAGGATAATTGAATCTTTTCAGTTCAGGATTCAGCTCTGCACTTCAAACTTACTTTGCCTTGTGTATAACAAGTTTATTTTCATTTAAAACCAAAACATTCATTTTTGTGATGGCTTCCATCAAGTTGTGCTTAGCCCTGTTCACTCTGCACATCCCCCTCACACTGTCACACCCTGTCATGCCTGCCTTGCCCTGCTCTTCCCCTGTATGGGGAGCTCTTCAGAGCTCTGAGGGGCAGGTGTGACACCTTGCTCGAACAAACCACCCATGACCACAGAGGTCCAAATGGGCATTTGCAGCTCTTCTTTCCAGGAATCTGTCATTGGTTGCTATAGTGATAAACAAGTTGGCTTATTAGGAAAAGGAACAAAGAACTAGAGAAAATTATTTCAAAATGACCTGCATGCATAGATAAACATGCAATCTGACTTCTCATTGTCAGCTTGGACAGCTGGTTTCCTGTTTCTGGAGAAGCATAGACCTGATATATGTTATTTTAGCAAGTCCAGCCCAGTGTCCACTGCCTGTGTTTTATGACACACAGGGTCCTGTGTGAGGGTGTGGGGCTTTCTCTTCTGAGCTGGATGATTAAACTTCTCAGGGGCTCCCATAACTGGATAGCACAGGAAAATGTGCTTTCTTAGAAAAACTGTTAGGTGGTCTAATGAGGCTGAAATAAGTGTAAAGGAGCAGAAAAGGACAGAAGAAATTATGCTTTTTCTGTATCCTGTGCTGTGGCTTCGGTTTTTTATATCTTTTTTGCCCCTTGCTGATGCCAAGATACCTCTGTGCAGACACTGAGAGTGGTGATCTGTGCCTGTCAGATGGCAGAACATCACCTTCTCTGTGGGATGCCTGGCTTGCACATTGGTCCTTTGGGCCTTAACTAAGGTGTAATAAATCTGTTCTCATTTGAATCCCTGGATACATTGTGACTCCGCTGAGATCAGGCTTGTGCCCTTGAGTGTGTCGTACGCAGTGGATGTTCTTTGACACTCCTGTGGGATGCAGCCTCAATGCCTTTATTTTTTTTGGCTAATTACACATATTGATTGACTGAGCAACGCCAAAAGGTGTAACTGCGAACACTAGAAACTACACTGCCTATGTTTCATTCAGACAGGCAGGCTACTCTTTTGCCTGCTGTGATTTGAGTCACCTGGCATCTGGATTTACTCATCACAGAAACCAGGTTGATCAGCCCCCTTTGCATGCCAGAGCTAATTACCCACCTCCAGTCACCACCAGTCACTTCTTTTGAGAGAAAAATATGAAACAGCCCGAAGAAATGAACCATCCTTGGGTTTAATCTATTCAATTACAGCCATGTGTAATAGAAACTATTTCTCTGCAGTGTTTCATCCACTAGTTAAAAATAATTGCACATTTTTATATGTTTATCCAACAGATTTTGTTTCTTCTTCTTACAGCACAGTAATAGTTCTATCAGCTTCAGACCCTATGAAACAATACATTTTAATAGCTTTACTAAAAATGCTGTTTTATAACTCAGACCAACTTTTCCAATAACTGGGAAAAACAAAAAACAAAAACCAAAACCCAAACAACACAGTTTTTAATGTACCTAGCTTTAGCAAATCCTGATGTTCAGAAGCTGGGGAAATTCGAAAGGAGCAAGCAAAAGGCTTGCCCAGCTTGTCCCTTGCCAGGCATACCCAGCTGAGAGGCTGGATGGGAGTGCTGGGTTGCAGCAGAAGTCTCTACACAGAGCAGCCTGAGGGGTGGGTGACCCTGAGTCAGGAGGGGGAGAAAGGCCAAAAGAGCTGAATTGATTTAAGAAAGGTGGAACAGTACATCTATTACACAGCTAAGGCAGCTCTCCTGCCACACCTATCCTTTTCTACAGACATTGGAAAGACTGAAAGCAGTGAAGAAGAAAGGAGCCAGGGCACACAATTGCTGGCTAGCATTACACAACCCCTTGTGACTGCATCCAGCCAGCATCTGCTGAGCACTCTGCCAGAAACAGGAAGCCTCTGTGGGCCTGTGGAGAGTGTTCCTAGGGATGGGATTTCTTTTGTATGGTTGTGCATATGCACGCTTGCACACATGGGCTGCTTTCTAGGACTGTGTTAAGCATTCTCCTACCAGAGTCAGGCATCCTCTGCTGGTAAGAAGCACAAGAAACTGAGGCAGAGGAAGCTTTTTTTGAAGTCAAGTGAAAAATTGGGTGCCAAGTCCTGACACGTCTCTGAAAAAAATTCTTTGGAAAGAGGGGCAGCTATCACAACATCATAATAGATGAGCCAAGCCATAAACTACTGCAAACAAACAATTCTGGACCAGATCCTAAAGAGAAATGCCTACCCACACACTCTGATACTACCCAGAATATGCACTGTGCTGCATACTATGTGTGAAACCATAGGAACCGCCTGAGTCACACGGTGATTGGTACCATCCATCACAAGTTAGAAACTCGTCCTTTGTTTCAGAGTTGCACCTGAGGCCTCAAATCAAATGTGACAACTTTTATAATAACCAGTGCTAAGGTGTTCAGCTGAAAAAACTATCTTTGTAGACAGTTTGCCCCCACAAATGGAGTGGTAATTTGACTGGGTTCTTCCGATTTCCAGAGGAAGAACATTCTGCTTTGCTTATCAAGAAGCAACAATTTAATAAATAGCAGCTGGCTTGTATGTAGTACCTTCATTATCTTTTACTAGTCCATCTAAAATATCTGAATATGTGAAGCTAGCAGAAAATGCTGCTGCATTATTTGATGTGACACCTGATGCATCTGGCTCATGACCTCCGAGCCTGTTCTGTGGCGCCTGAAAGCGCTACAGTGGTTCTGAGGGGAAAATGTAGTTGTTGCATTTTGTTATCAAATAACCACGTGTGTCACATTGCTTTTAGAGCAGCCGTGATAGGAGTAAAGGCAGGAAAGTATTTGTTGGCAAGCGTAGAGAAACAGAGTTATCAGCTTTCAGGAATAGAATTAAAGAGGTGGAAGATGACCACACAGCTCATCAGGATGCCTCCCTGGTGCTTGCTGCTTTTGTTCCTTTCTAAACTGCTGCAATTACACTCAGCTATTCTTATTGCTGCCTTTACTAAGGTCTTGTAGCCATAAACTATTAAGTATCCTCTGTAGGCTCTGAATACAGCACACAAGTTAACTAAAGATAGTATTTTTGGATGAAAGGTAAGAGAAAGGGAAAAACAGTATTTTAAAAATACTTTAATATGTGTGGCTATAAAGAATGCCAATTAAACACATCCATTTGAAACCCTTAGTTTCTAGGTTCCGCCCCAGTAAGTTTTTAAGAATCCTGACATGGCATCATAGAGTATCTAGAAGTGGCAAGCTTAGAATTAACTTCTCCAAATGACTGCTGACTTGCAAATGAGAGCAAGCAATCTCTTTTTGGTATATTGCTTTGATACACATGTTTGCATTATTTGAACAAATTATCTTTGTAAATAGAATTGTACTGGAAATGAGTAAACAGTGGTGCGCTCAGTCACTGGAGAGACACAGTTTAGGTGATCGTCCTCTAGATAAACTGTATCAGCATAGAACTGGCAACTGTAATTTTGTGTCTGAGATGCTCTTGATTTGAATATATTGAACTGTTTATGCTTGCTCCATTCCTCCATATTATTTCATTTTGACATAACAGCCCTTCCACTCCTCCACTAAACATGCTAACTCTAATTAGCTCTCTGCTACACAGATGCTTCTTCATTCAGATGTTCAGCGCCTGGCCAGGTGTCACCCTCACTTTCCCATGAATTTCAGCTTACATTACATCGGTTCAATGTCCTCTGTGTGTGTGTCCTTCTGAATAACAAATCGATTTGGGATAGATATGAATGATAGATGGACATAGTGTCCACATTATCTACATTTTTTACACACATGCCAATGTGAAGAATGAATATAAAACAGGGAAGAAGCCAGTGGCGTAAGCCCAGGAGGCTGGTGTGCAGGCATCCCCGATTTCTGCAAGCCATGCTATTCCTACCAAAAATCTAAGTATCAGTGACGAATCATTCTACTTCTTATCTCAAACAGCTTGGAAGCCAGTGAGAACATAATTCGATCTCCACGTTTTAATCAGAGAATCGTGGAGAATTCAGTAATTTGCAAACTCTAGTGCTCTGCTTCTGTGTTCTTATGCAGCATGAAGTTTTAAAAGCATAATTGAAGCTCTAAGGAAGTGTTTAGTTATGACAGCAGGGAGTATTGAAAAATGCATCGGAAACTTCCCTGTGAGAAACGGATTTGTAAGAGGTTTTAGATTGCACATTTCACCTGTGTTGCAGCACCTGATTAATGTCTTTTTCTCAAAATAAAGACAGGTGGATTATTACGAAATCCTGATATACGTCTGCTTTCTAAGAAGGTGCTCTCAAGTCCCTGTGATCTCCGGAGAAGCTGCAGGCCCGGACAACGGGGAGATGCGGTCCATGGAGCGCAGGCGGGAGGAGACACCGACTGACGGGCATCGAGGGGAGCTGCGGAAAATCGCAGCCTTATTTACAACTTCTTACTTCGGCCGAGGTAGGAAAAAAAGCCAAAACCCAAAGCGAAGCAGAAATGAAGGGAGCGGCTCTCCGCCGCTGCGAGGGGTAAGTGCTCGGGCACGGACCCGCCCGCCTACCCCAGCCCTGCCTGTCGGCCGGCGCTGTCCCGAGGAAGATGTCCCGGCCACCGGCCCAAGTTGTCGCCCGCAGGGGAGAGAAGCAGCTCCCCGTCGCCACCCGAGTCCCCGTCCCCGCC